TGTTGTGCAGTAGGGTAGTAATAGAGCTTACCGGTGGTATGTGCACCACAAATCCAAAATTTGGCAAAACACACTGAGATGAGACACACAGTTATTGAGATGGACTTGTAGGCAGTATTCCTCATTTGACAGTATATGGTTGATAAATCTATCACATGTATCAAAATGCATGCACACAACATGAAATCAACCAAAACGGTATTTGAAATGCAACAAGAAAGAAGTTTAAGAGATCCTTTTAAACCGGGAAAAATTATCGGGAACGGTACAACCAATATGGAAGAATTCAGGCGTTCACAAATTTAAGAAATACACTTAAGGGATACACCAAACCTTTTGGACTTGAAAGTATGATAGAACGATTAGCTATGAATCCAAATGTAATTGTTTTCAACAAGTTTCGATCGAGAACTGTTACGTATTCAGGAGGCGCATACATTTTTGTTTAGGTTAGTTTTACCATCGCCTCTCGGTCCAGCTTTGTCAAGCTTTAAAATATCATCATCATCATCATCATCATCATCATCATCATCATCATCATCATCATCTCACCCTGGTTGGTATAACATTAAAAAAACGCGGTTATTTATCTCAATGCTCTGTCAGTCGATAAAGTTTTGTGTTTTTTTGCACTAACTTGAAGCACGAATACCCCCCCCCCAATCCGGAAAAAAAACTCAGTAACATCGGGAATCTTTACCATTTGTCTGTGGTAACGATGGTTAGGATCATGGAAATTTTCCCAATCATCAACTTCTCATCATCATGCAACAGTCTGAGTTGCTGTCTTTCAACAGTTCGTTTGACAGGCGAGTGAGGAGGAAGTAAATGACAGAATGTAAAGCGATGGAAATAAACTCATAGAAGTTCTTCTTCTTCATGCACGACTGAAACGATTAACCAAACTCAATTCTGTCGGTCTGCGTCACCAACAATTGATTGATTTGATCGATCATGCGGTATCCAAGTATTTCAAGTATTCGAGAATTCGAGTAACAGTGCATATCCGAGATTTTACACCCTCGTGCTCGGTTTCATTCTAATCAGCATCAGCTTTCTTCTTCTATTCGTTGACTACCTCATAAACAACGCATACCCCGGCGGTCTATCCGGTGACGTATGTAACTCATACATAATCACCATGATTTGCAGAGATCACGTATTTGCGTCAGTGCGCGATCATGATTTTCTGATACTCTTCTTTGAACGCAGTAGTCAGTATCCGATTGCGACCTCAGATTCGTGCTTAAGTTTTCATCCTGTTTGGGACTCGTCAGCAGTGCTTACTTTTTGTATCCCTGACAGGACTCGAAACGCGAACTTTCGGGTGGGTACTTCAAACTGTCACTCCTGAGCTACACGGTCGGTGGTCATCACCTTGTGCGAATGGCTCAATCAATTTAGAGTATCAAGCTTGGATTAGCCCATTCGATTGTTCAGAGGCACCAGGTACTCCTGATGGTCCTGGGTTCCATTGCATTTGCATCTGCCACGGAGTGAAACCCATATTCAAGACCATCTAGATTGCCTGGTACCTCTAAACAATCGAATGAGCTAATCCAAACTTGATACTCCCAAAGCTTTCACGTTTGTTTCTTCACCGAGCTTGGCTAATTGCTTGCAAGCGCTTCATCACCAACGGAGAGCGACATTTTCAGTGTTTTAACGTTTTGAATGTGTTGGCATAATGGCAAATCAATCAAAACCAACTTGGTCTGTTATTTTCACGCAATTTAAGTTTTCCTGCTTCTTTTTACACAGGGATAATGCAAGATTTGATTCAATGATCTGCTAGATTAAGTCGCATACAGATCATAATGAACTGAAAAGTAGTTAGGAAACCCCGTATGACTGTCATGTGCATTGCGCATCTATCGACCCAAATGGGGTTTGACTCTCCCCGATCAGATTATCAGATCATTATCCATTTTGTCTTTACATAACCCATCTTTACAAACTTTTTGTGCGCATTCCACCTCACGCATCTCGATGCTATCCATCAGTATTATGATTCAGCTGGAAACGTGAGAATAATGGAGGATTTGATTTTACCTGAGAGATCCCGGTTCGATTCCCAGTTAGATTGGTAAATTTGCACCACAGATGAGATTCAGTCTGATCGAAACAGCTGTACAGAGCATCTTAGATGTTCAGTTCAAAACTTGTTTGTTCTGTACACTGCCAAATCCGGTGCCTAATTTTCCTATCTTAGTTTCCTCAGATTTGGTAAAATATTCCCATAGACAATGTAGAAAATTGGGTTCGTGAGATGCGTTTTGTTCTTGATATACTGTGATGATTACACATAGATATGAACTCCTTTGTTTTATTGAACACGATATCCTTGTACATCCCGACTTGCTACTGATTGCAGTTCAATTCCGTTGTGCAGTGCTGTGTTCTGATTTCATACAGAGTTCTCGTTCGGGTTTCGATTTCGATAAGTATACGAGTGACTAGTCCCGGTGTAGACGAAAACATGTACTCCGTTCCAATGGTTACCCCGAAACTTTTATTGATAAACATGTGCGACAGTAGACCAATAAAATTAAGAACCCGACAGATCTTCGCCAGAACCTTTTTTTATTAGCGTTCCGTTTAAGGGCGACGATGACTCGAAAATTCTCAAAGGACGTCTATCTAAAGTGATCTCTAGAATGTTCTGTGCAGCTCAACCGCATATTCTCACTACCACACGCGCCTTAGTGTTCCAGCAAACGAAAGATAAGTTGCCTCTTCAGTCCAGATCCTTTGTTTTATATCTTTTCACGTTCACTTGTAGTGCGCGATACCTTGTACACATGACCAGGCGATTATCAAAACGTATTGCTGAGCACTGTCCTACGGACCTCTGCTTCTCAGTTCTCGGTCAACTTGTTGATAGCAAGCCTGTTGTGAACAAGTTGGATGCATTCAAAATTATTCACACTATACATCGGAAATATTCCAAGGCAACTTTTAACCACGGTCGAGGTGATTATAATTCGTATTTTCAGTCCAGAGTTATGAGAGCAAAAGAAGCTGATCCATACAGTGCTATTGCCCCGGGCTGGACAGCGGATAGATTGTGCATAAAACAGAGCAACAGACATCCTCCACACACAGCCCACCTCTACTTCACGAGTTATGGATGACCTATGGTTTCTAGTGTATTTGGTGGAAGTAACTTCCGCTCTCTCCCTCGCCTTAGATCACAATTTTCATCGACATTTTAATCAGTCCATCTCTCTACCGTTATTTCAATCGACTTTTGTCCTCTCAATCTCCCCACGACTCTCGGTTGCTGGCCTCCATCATCGTTAAAAACTGAGCTGCAGTCAGCCAACCAAATATGTGTGCCATGATCACCTTACATATATATATATATATATATATATATATATATATATCACC